AATTTTGGAACATAAAAAACCATCGCGGGGACTATACATTAGCCAAGTATATGTGGAACAGAAACCGATACGCGGAGTGAAAGACTTGTTTGAAGTCGAGGAAAACTGACTAGCTGGTCGATAGCTTGGGTGGCGCTGCCCAAGCATCTGACGCGGTGTGAAGATATAGTCAATCCATCCACCATTTGATAAAGTTCTTCCCGATGCTCTTGGATGTCTCACGTTACGCTCGGGGAGTAGCCTAAACCTCTTGGCAGACTTTTAACAAAATAGGTACCGTCTTTGCTTGGGCAAAACGCAAAAGCTCACCCCTGAATAACGCCAGGAGCCGTGCAAGTTGACTTAGTTTCAAGAAAAAGAGGCACACAAATACTTCAGAAAGTTTGGAAGGTGTCCACGGCTTGAGTCGAACAAGCTGAATGAAAGACACGGCTCTTGCGGCATCGCTACCTAGCTTGTTCAACTTGTTGCTTGAAAAGTTTTCGTCCGCTAAACTAGGAGTCCAGGAAGATCTGCGCCGAGTTATCCATGGGTCAATGGTTGTCCACTGTTAAAGGGACCCCAGCGCAACAGCATACTACTGAAGGAAAGTTAGTGATTGGTACAAAACCCTAGAACAATATTACCATTGCAAGCGTGTCTTAAATGCGGCCTAAAGGGTCGGCATTTTGGGCCCTCAATGAACCATGCCTGGGCACTAATATTATCGATGAATGGTACAACAATATTACCTCACTTACTAGGTACTCGTATAGGAGCAGCGCAATGTAGAAACCACTTGAAGTTCATAGGCAGCACTACTTAGATAAAGAAGGTCTCGTGTGCCCAGCTACCTCACAGGTATCCTGTATTGAGCTTCCCGAAACGCAGCAACTGTCTATCGATAGAGCTCGTATCAGCAGTAGTTTTTTCAAAAGATACGAATAAAACAGCGGGATGCGTTCCGTGAGATAAACAGCATAATATTAGTCACTTATTTTAGCGCAAGACTGCAGCAACTACTATCGATAGAGCTCGTGTCAGCAGTAGTTTTTTCAAAAGATACGAATAAAACAGCGGGATGCGTTCCGTGAGATAAACAGCATAATATTAGTCACTTATTTTAGCGCAAGACTGACCTGCAAAGGTGTATAGTTAAACAGTAAAGGAAAAGGTTAATATATAATACAAGAGGTGTCAGGAGCAGCCTGCTTTAGTTCACCCATCCTGCTGAATGCAGCAAAGAAGTCGATCCGCTTGATAGCATCGCGCAAAGGTCGACGCGATACGAACTTATCATTTCGCCAGCAGTTAATGAACTTTCTGGGGATGGAGCACTGACAACACGACCAACTTCGGCACAAAAGGACGATTGGGGTCCCTTAAACAAGGTCTGTTGGTCAGTGGCCTGGACAGAAGACGGGAGCGGTTAAAGTAAGACTACCAGAACAATCCAACGTTCTAAAAAGCAGTCCCCGACCTGAAGGATCAGTTAAAGGTATTAGTTTAGCTCTTACCCGTCGACCATTCTCGTATGTGACTCTACGAGCGTCACACAGACAACCACCAACAGCTCACGGAGGCGCACAACCTGTCACACCAGCGTGAAGTTCGATCTCTTCTTGAGGGATGGCTTGTGTTAAGGATAAAAATTTGTCAACCGATTTCAATACGTTTAGTCCTCTGAATTCAAGACCATCGTCCAGCCGTATTAGCTAACTCAAAAAGGGGTCCGCATGAACTGAATTTCTTGTGTTCGTCAGCCTCTGTCCCCGATTTAAAAAAAACTGCATTGGTAGTTTAAATACGTGGGGTTCGTGTTTTTTAAAAGTGGTCCCATTACTAGATCTTTTGGGAGTAGTTACCCATCAAGGAGTCAGTCTCTGTATTCCCGAGAGAGATCTGGCTGGACTGAACATCCTTTTTTGACCAGCTTTGAGAAACAATCGATGCCGGTTCGTCTTGGAGATTACCAACCTCCAGAAAATTCCTTTATAAGATTTCCCTGTTGGCTTCCTTTATCCAATTCTGGATTAAAGCCGTAAAACACGGCAAAAGCTACAACAGACTCCCTAGTTACTTCTGAAACTTTAGGCCTATTTGCAGTAAAGTTTAAGTGTGTGAAAACAGTGATGAATTGGAGACATGGTATTGAAAAGTGTGAGGGCCACAGCACTGAGAACCTCCGATATATTTATAAATGTGAAAATAAAAATAAAATGATTCAACGACCTCTCCCAACTCAGAAACAATACGGCTTTTGGTTGGGAAATATCATAGTTGGGAGATTCATTTCAATCCTATTTAAGCCCTACCATCACAGTTGCTGAGTGGTGAGTGTTGAACTCCGGAAATGCGCTCCTCCCCCCCAAGAAGTGTACCTTGTCAAGGGCATATCATGCGCTTCTGAGCTTACAGTCGGTTTATTGTAGGCGACACCAAGTAATCGACTCTGTGGAATATGAAGGATTTAGAAAGTACTTTTTTGCGGATATACGATGTTGGTGAAGAGCAATGATACCCAAACCTAGGTCACTGCAAGACGAGGGGTAGGATGCATTGAGGCGTCTGATACCTCAAGATATTATTGTTGTTGAATATTACAACCTAGGAAAATTACAAGTGTATGGGCTGTTTGGTTACTATTTTTCATTCCCAAAATAAATTTCTTATCCTGTAAGACTACATCCAAAATCTAAATCGAATCCCTACCATGGTTTTCTTTGTTGTCCCTTCTGAGGGTTATGTTTGCAGTAGACCGTCTAATTGGGCCATCAATCATCACAGTCTCTCCATGATGGAATGTGGAAGGAATGTGGAGCCCCACTCTTCTTATCTTATCTTACTACGAGGGAATCACGTTACGTCGCACATCCGCCTGTTCTCCAACTATGTGGAATGCAGCAGTTATAACATCTGTCTTGCGCAGTTCTGTCAACCTTAGATGCATTCATTCATTCATTCATTCATTCATTCATTCATTCATTCATTCATTCATTCATTCATTCATTCATTCATTCATTCATTCATTCATTCATTCATTCATTCATTCATTCATTCATTCATTCATTCATTCATTCATTCATTCATTCATTCATTCATTCATTCATTCATTCATTCATTCATTCATTCATTCATTCATTCATTCATTCATTCATTCATTCAATCAATCAATCAATCAATCAATCAATCATCCATCCAGCCATCCATTCATTCGTTCACTCATTCATTCATTCGTTCATTCATTCATTCATTCATTGACTTCACTTGGGGATGCAAATGGCAACCATGCTCTCTGTGAAACTTGCCTGAATTAAGCATAACTTAGGAAAAAGTGTATGGGCTGTTTGGTTACTATTTTTCATTCCCAAAATAAATTTCTTATCCTGTAAGACTACATCCAAAATCTAAATCGAATCCCTACCATGGTTTTCTTTGTTGTCCCTTCTGAGGGTTATGTTTGCAGTAGACCGTCTAATTGGGCCATCAATCATCACAGTCTCTCCATGATGGAATGTGGAAGGAATGTGGAGCCCCACTCTTCTTATCTTATCTTACTACGAGGGAATCACGTTACGTCGCACATCCGCCTGTTCTCCAACTATGTGGAATGCAGCAGTTATAACATCTGTCTTGCGCAGTTCTGTCAACCTTAGATGCATTCATTCATTCATTCATTCATTCAATCAATCAATCAATCAATCAATCAATCATCCATCCAGCCATCCATTCATTCGTTCACTCATTCATTCATTCGTTCATTCATTCATTCATTCATTGACTTCACTTGGGGATGCAAATGGCAACCATGCTCTCTGTGAAACTTGCCTGAATTAAGCATAATCTAACGGCTGCAGGGTGATCAATTCACTAGACCACGCAGAAGCACATGCGCATGCGATAAGCGTCAACCATGACCTTTGACTCACTGAACATCACTCACGTGTATTTCTTGCAGTTTAATGAATGAGCTCATTGGAAGTCTCTTTGGATCAAGATGTGTTTACCATTAGTTTGCATCCTCATGGCAGCTGAGGGGCCCTAACTCGTGTTGAACGACTGTCCCAAGAAAACGGAATATGAAAACAGATGTCTTATGGCCATAGTAATACATGAGGTTAAGCATAAAGATGAGGACATCAGGAGAGCATACGCATTTAGTAGCATGGTTTTAACAGCTAAGAATTCCAAAAAGGATGAGAAATAAAGATGAAGGCAGCAATCGCTATAGTTCTGAGGTTCCCATTATGACAAGTGCCGTTTTAGTTCCAACAACATAACATTCAGACATCATTTATAATCTACCTGTATACTTTTCTGAGTATAGGCATTTGAAAAATGGTCAAAATAGTTCCCGAACAACATAACATTCAGACATCATTTATAATCTACCTGTATACTTTTCTGAGTATAGGCATTTGAAAAATGGTCAAAATAGTTCCCGAACAACTCACAGTAGAAAGAAGGAACGCCAGTCCGTTCGGCCTTCATCCGCGGATTTCCCACGACATGTGAGAGGAGAAAGAGATTGATTAGCAGGCAGAAGACCGCGAAAGCTCCCATGGTACGAAAGATTTTTCTATCTTTCCGGATTGTATTTTCTCCCGATGTCATACGTTCACCCGTCTATATATAACAAGTTTCAACGAGCTAGCCATTTTCTGATTGGACAAGCCGACGCTGCATTTTTGTCCAATGCTGTTGCGTCAAGGGCTCATGAGCAAAACAAAAACTCTCAAAGGCCGAACATTTTTCAGATAATCCCCAACGAGCTTCTGTTTATCTTGGTAAATGATAGGTTCCCTTAAGACGAAGCAGTTTTAAGTAAACTGAAAAAAGACGCTGTCACCCGAGAAATAATCAGTTCTGGGAGGTACAACGATCTAGTTAAAAGGCAATAAAAAATAATACAGATTAACAATATGAAAAAGCTTTTTCTGAGAATGCTCTGTCTCTATTTGTGATAAGCTTTTTCTCCTGGTGGTTTCTTTTCGAACTATCACCGGGAGACTGAAATTTACCGTAATGTGACGATTCGTGTACCTCCGTGACCCATTCAGCTATATTCGGGGAAGCCCATGCAGCACTCGCACAGTTTCTCATGTCAGGTTGGTCAATGGTTAGAGGTCAGACAAACACAGTCTCCTTGTTCTCCGAGTTGGGGAAGACGAAGATGGTGTTTTACTTGCATTTCCAATCAAAACGCTGCCTTGCGGTCAGGCTTTTGAGCCAAAGGCTTTGGTTGAGTACCCTAATCGTCGTCCTGTCTAGGTGTGGGCGCCCTGACAGTATCCCAGCCCACGTACAACCATGATACCTAGGTCCAACAATATACTCATGCCACATCGGCCGTCACGTGGTGCCGTCAGCCACTGCATAAAGCAGGGCGGTTAAGCGAAAACAGACTACTGCTGACGGCTCTTTTACATACTTTTTAGTCCCCCTCTTCACTCCATTATGAACTCTCTCCTTGTAGACCCAACAGTTGGGACCGATGACTTCAATCGTCTTGCAAGGGTTTTGCGTGCAGCATCTGCTCGTTACATGGCATCGATATCCTCAGGTATCTCGACGCCCAGTCTATCAGTCCGCACTCGGAAGCAAACAGGACAACAAGCTGCTCTTTGTCTCACATTGGACTCTCTTGACTGCGTCTCAGAAACAAAAATTTAAGATGTAAGCACAGTGGTTGAGATGGCCACCCCACCAGTCTCCATTCGCTTCCGGCTGCACACCTTGGGTGATCCAGAGGGCTGGTGCGGCGGAACGGGCATGGGTTGCCACCATTCTGAGTCACCGGGGTGGAAGTATCCTTACTTGACTGGATACTTGTTGATAGTCGCCTCTGTGCGGTTCGTCTGGCAATGTCCGCGAAAAAGTCTCACAAGCGAGAAGTTAGCCGCCGTCTGTTTGTCGTGTCTGCTTACTCCTCAACTGACTATAACTCATACACAATCAAAGACATGTTTTATGACGCTCTGAATGTCCTGTTGTGGCTAGCTAAAACCTCCGACATCGTTGTGGTTGCTACAGCTCTGAGTGCTCCATTGGGCAAGCTTAGCGCATCTGAGATTTAATAGGGTTGATACAGATGGACACAGCCAGTCGGTCACGAACCCAAATCGATCACACTGTCATCAGTTATCAATAGCGTGCATCAGTAACTGACTGCTACTTGTTTCGGAACACATTTGTGAATTTCGACCACACGCTCGTCCGGAATCGCTTTTTTCCTCGTTTTCGAGTGCCGCGTAGGGTGCGGACAAATCGCTCGGCAACTGGAAGACTGTCCATCTGGATGCTAGATGAATTTGTCTTCTAGATTTGTCTTCTAGAGTCCCTCCCAACTGCCCTTCATCGCATGTGAATTCATATTGTGACCAGGTCACCACTTCTTTGCAGTGTTGGAAGTTGCGCCTGTGCCACCGCACTACCATGCCTACTAAATCCCAACTGCCATCGCATGTGAATTCATATTGTGACCAGGTCACCACTTCTTTGCAGTGTTGGAAGTTGCGCCTGTGCCACCGCACTACCTACCATACTAAAGTATTGGATATCAGACCGAAGAACTTAAATCTCGGAAGACTATTCCATCCTGTCCAGAACATAACTCTGAACCTGGACCCCCTCCGCCCCCGGAGTTAATGATTGCATATGTTCTCTTAAGCGTTACTGAGCCTTCAGTCCGGACAACTTCCCACAAACATTGTTCAAAAATTCGGACCAAGTCCTTAGGCAGCGCTTGTGTGATCTGTTTGTCTGCATTCGGAAAAAGAAGGCAAGTGGGACGAGTCAGTGATAGTGTCCATTTTCAAAAAGGGGTAAACAAACGGGGATCAGTTGGACCACGAGTCATAAAAAGGCTGCTGACGTCACTTGTTCTTCGTCGCCCCATCATAGTGGCGCGTGAAACACAA